TTTTGTTCACACATTTGCACATGGTCCTGATGTTCTGTACAGTAACAAACAAAATAATTAAAAGAAACTTAAAAGCTCTTACACTTTTACCGTTCCATGTTACTACTTAATCCCTTATCACAAATCTCACCTTTTAATCCATTAGAAAAGACAGTTGCCTCTCAACAGAAAATAACAGCAGAAGTATTTTAGTTGAAAAGAAAGATAACCCTGGCTGGTTTGGCTCAATGGATAAGGTGTTGGTCTGGGGACTGAAAGGTCCCAGGTTCAATTCTGGTCAAGGGTCCATGCTTGGGTAGCAGGCTCCATCCCCAGTAGGGGGTATGATGATCAATGATTCTCTCTCATCTTTGATGTTTCTCTCTCTCTTTCTCTCTCTTCTTCTCTGAAATCAATAAAAATATTTTTTTAAAAGAAAAGAAAGCATCTCACATTTTTCTCAGCTTCTATGTTGTTAACAGAAATAATAGTAATATTATAAAGAATTTGAAAACAGTAGATTGCTTTTAACTTGCTGGAAACAAACAATCAGTTAAAATTCAAAAGAGAAATGGGAAAATATTTTGTAAATTGCATGCTAAATAAGGATTAATATCTGGGAGACATAAAGAGTTCCTAGAATCAGTAAGAAAAGCACAAATACTCATATATAATAAGTCAATAGAACATTGAGAAATATATAAAAAATATACAAATGGCCAATGAACATAAAAGATGCTCTATTCCACTAAAATCAGAGAAATACAAATTAAACAATGAGATTCCCAATTCCTCCCTTTGTCTATGTGGCAGCAGCAATTAAAGAGACAGATTAACATCCAAAGTAAGGTTCCTTGGTGAATGGGAGAATATGCTGAAAACCATTGGAGGGAATATAAAAATTGTAAAGACGTTTGCAAGATAGTTTGATACCCTCTGTTCAATTTTCAAATGCGAATATCCTTTGAGCCTGTAATTCCACTGCCATTTCACTGTACTAGAGAAATGTCCACATGAAGCCTGAAAAGGCATGTTGTAGGATATTGCAGGTTTTTTGTTTTTTTCTGTTTTTGTATCAGAAATAACCTAAATTATATTGGCAGTAAAATGAGCAAACAGATCATCCCATATCCATTCTACCACGAACAAATGAGAAGATAATATGCTCTGGAGCTCATTACAGATCAGGATACTATGGCTACCTTTTGTTTGATTTTTAAATGTCTCTGTAGAAGAACGGGCATATTCTACTTTATCTAACTGCGTCCTAATGGGTGGATATATGTGTAGGTAACTGCATAGATGTGCACAAGCATCAAACTGTGAACAGTAGTCATTTCTGGGGAATGGAGTGAGTGAGAATTGACAAGGAGGAATGGTTAAATAGAATTTTCATGTTTGATTATATTCGTACCTAGTTGAAATTTTAAAAACAGGAATGTATTCATACTTTAATTGTGAACTTGAGTTTTTGACAATAGGACTCAGAAACTCACATGAACATAACTAATAAGCAGAAAAATAACAAGCCTCCCTTTTTATCCTATCTCTCACGCCCCGTGAACTTTGCCTTGCCATTGTGTCAGATAAATGGACCGTCATCTCTAGCAACTGTCCTCACTTCCTGAAGCTGCAGCAAGTATACTCATAGTACTCCCAACTCCTCTGAAAATAGTACCGTAGTTGGGAGTACTATGAATTTTTCACAATTCTTTTGAGTCAAGAAAGCCCCTAAGAAAAGGTATTAAGCCCTAGCTGGTTTGGTTCAGTGGATGGAGCATTGGCCTGCGGACTGAAGAGTCCTGGGTTCCATTCCAGTCAAGGGTACATGCCCAGGTTTCGGGTTCCATCCCCAGTTGGGGGCATGCAGGAGGTAGCCAATCAGATTCTCTCTCATCATTAATGTTTCTATGTCTCTCTCCCTCTCCCTTCCCCTCTGAAATCAATAAAAAAAAAGATATTTTAAAAGGCATTAAATAATTATAAAATAAATATAAACATAATTTAACATAACAACATAATATAATGTGAAAAATGAACATGAAGCGAAGTACCATAAATGGTCCCAGGTGCTCCCCAATCTCACACATTGGATCAATGGCTGCAATGTTACTTGAAAGATGATGCAATAGATGTGGGAGCTTATCGAATTCCTGTACAGTTAACTCTACCACAGATTATTTACTTTTTGGATTATTCCTAGCACCTTTTAAATGCCAAAGGGATTTTCCCCATCTGTTAAGCATTCTTCTGAGTCATCACTTTCAATTGGTAGGAGTTCAAGGAATGCAAATTAGTTTTCTTTTAGCCTAAACAAACACAATTAGAAAGGAAGCTTCCTTGAGGCAAAGAACACCTATCACAGCCAAATTTAAATTGCCTTTGACCATTGTCATCAGGGAAATGAGAATCCAAAGTAATTGTCTTTTTAGCCTCTAAAGAAAAATATTTTATTGCTTTTTCTTATAGAGTTCATAATAATTTATAATCCTAATGTTTTTTTTAATATTCATTTTAAATCACTCCACTTTGCCCCCCCACCCTTTATTTTCCCTTTATTTTTGGTGGATATCAATGAAAGTTGATGAGAAAATCTTAGCCATTCTCCCATACTTATCAACGTGCCAACATAGTAATTTTATGCTTTTTAATTTGTTTACACATATTTTCTTTTTACATGGATTAACCCACATATTTATTATTTTTAACTTTACTATGCTAGTTTATTATAGTATCTGCCATACAATGAGTCAGGCACTCTTTTAGGAATTTTATACATATACAAGTAGTCCGGTGCACGAAATTCATGCAGGGCAGTTGCGGAGGGAGTCCCTCAGCCCAGCCTGCACCCTCTTGCAATGCAGAACTCCTCTGGTAATGTTCAACTGCTGGTTTAGGCCTGATTTCTGGGCCTAAACCAGCAGTCAGACATCCCTTTCACAATCCAGGACCGTTGGCTCCTAACTGTTGGCCTGCCTGCCTGCCTGATCACTCCTAACCACTCTGCCTGCCTGCCTAATTGCCCTTAACCACTTGCCTGCCTGTCTGATTGCCCCTAACCACTCTGCCTGCCTACCTGATTGCTTCTAACCACTCTGCCTGCTTGCCTGATCTCCCCTAACTGCTCACCTGCCTGCCTGATAGCCCCAACTGCTGGCCTGATTGATCGCCTCTAACTATCTCTGCCTCAGCCCTCTCCACCATGGCTTTATCTGGAAGGATATCCAGAATGACATCTGGAAGGTCGTTTAGCTGTCTGGTCTAATTAGCACATTACACTTTTATTATTATTATAGATTATTTTATTTATTCCTCTCAACAACTCTACAATGTAGATATAATTATTCTTAGTGTATAAAAGAAGAAATTGATGCTGAGAGAGGTTGTTAGTGGTAGAACTGGGATTTAGTAATTTATTTCTAATGAGTATTAGAAATAACAGAATATTGTAAGTGAGACTCCCAGTGGTCTCATTCTCAAACCCACCATCAACATAAAGCCACTCATTCTTTTATCCATTTACAGGTTGCTTAGCTGATCCCCCACTGTTAGGCATTTTGGGTTATTTCTGATTTCCTACAGTGATGATAATATCTCATGACAATTGTTTTGTAACCATATTCATCCTGTGTCTTCATGAAACTCAACTTCTACAGAGCAACATCGCATTGCCTGAAAGTAATTTAAAGAAATAAATTTCAATTTTCATTTTGTCTCTCTAAGATAAAAATCACAGAGAATCCAGTTCAAAACGCCAGATCTCTTGCCTTTGTCCCTCAGTTCTCTTACACTCTAAAACTGCTATCAAGGCAATGGACTATGCACCAAAGGGTCAAAGGGTCAATTCTTGGTCAAGGGCATGAACCTGGGTTGCAGGTTCTATCCCTAGTCTGGGTGCATGTAGGAGGCAACCAATATATCTCTTTAACATCTTTCCTCTCTCTCTCTCTCTCTTTCTCTCTTCCTCTCCCCTCCCTCCCACTCTCTCTAAATAAAAATCAATGGAAAAATATCCTCAGGTAAGGATGAACAACAACAAAAATACATTGTGTGACTATAATAAAGTTGACAATAAGGCTTGTACCATATACATTTTCTGCTTAATACTCACATGCCTTGTTAGGTAGTCAGTATATAACTAAAGTTCATTACAAAATTCTGATTACTTTATAATAACTGTAATAAGTATCCACATGTGAAATGAAATCACATACAAAATACAAGTAGCCCCAAATGTCCCTGTTTTCTCTAATGGGCAAAAGAAGTAAAGATTTAAACTCCGAAAAAGTGGCTCATTCAGCAGGGAGGTGATCCCATAGGGCCTTTCTTTGGGTTTTAACCAACCCTCACGTTCTTATCTTAGCTAAGCCACTGATCTTGTATCTGATGACGTGTTATCTCTGGGGGAAATTGTGAAGTAACCAAAATATGGGGTACCCCAGATTACTTGGCATCTACCTCTTGTCTCTGGAATTCTTTTCATCCAGGTCCTCCTATTGCTATTTCCTCTCCAATCACATCAATTATTTACACATTAGTGGGACTTTGACCCAATAGACTCCCCTTCTCAGGGATATTTGCATGCAATACCTTATTTCCCACTGCGAATGCAAAGGTTTGTTTCTGGTCTTTGAGTTCAGCTCTTATGAGCTAATGCACCACTCTTTGGGAAGAGAGAGGCTGCCCAGGCATCTTCTCTTCACGTTGTATGTTATAAACATGTTTTCTCAGTTGATGAGTATGGGCTAGCTCCCAACTTACTGTCCTAATTAACTGCACATTCTGAGGTCAAGTGTACTCTGTGCACATTCAGATCTTGCACAGGTTCACACATATAAATGTGAGGAAGGGCATGTAGGTGTGGCAAAATGTGGAATTTACTAATTAGGGAAAGAAAAGCACGCCATTCATTAGGAATACATTACTAGACTCATTTTCTATGCCATTCTTTATTGCTTCTTCATAATGAATCTCAGGAATCAGATTAAACCCGGAAGTTTTTCTTTTCTTTTTTTCTCCAGTTTGACAAGTGGACAGACTCTCAAAGGAGAAGAATCCTGACAGGCCTGTTGGAGCGCTGCTCCCTGTCACAGCAAAAGTTCTGCTGTCGAAAGCTCCAGGAGAAAATCCCAGCAGAAGCTCTGGATTTCACCACCAAGCTCCCCAGGGTGTTGTCCTTACGCATCTTTTCTTTCCTGGACCCGCGAAGCCTCTGTCGTTGTGCCCAGGTAAAGGCAAAGAAGCCGCGTGGGGCATTTTGTAAGGACAGCCTGGAACCTGAGAGGGGAAAAGAGCACATGTAGCAGGTCCTCAACTGACACCATTTTTGTTACAACGTTGATGAGAATCTGTAGGAACTTGACTCTTGTGGATATCAGCCCGTGTAAAACTGGTTTCGTTACATGTCATTTCACTTAAAGTTGCAGAATCTGTCAGTGACTTTAAGTGAGGGCTTACTATGCACAAAACCAATAAATACGGTGCTCAGTATGTTTAGTCTGAAGAGTTTGGATTCACTCCTGTCTCAGACACTGTGTGTCTCATTCTCTATTTGGTGCTCAAAATGGAAAAAAAAAAAAAAAAAAAGATACCATTAATGTCCACATACACAAAAATAGAGCTGGTTGGTGAGAGAAACACCCAACAAAGAAATGCTTCCTCAGCAGGATTGTCTTACGTTGCACAGCTACAATAAAACCTGAATGTCCAGTGCAGGCCATTCATAAAGAGAGAGGCTCAAAATAAGGTGCTAATGAAATATACAAAAAACAAATAAAAATATGAGACTAAAAGAGTTCAGAGTGAGCAAACGTGCTCACGGATCTGGAAAAGAAGCTGACCATTATTTTCTTACAAGGAATTCCATGGTGTATTAAAGGGCAGTTAAATTACTGAAGATTATAAAACGGGTAGTGATTTTGTTGAGTCTTCTCATAGAGGCTAGTAACACCAGACATTAGACCTGCTAGCATGCATTCACACATGTGTAAAGTGTTCACTTTCATTTTTTAAAATTGAGAAAATGAATTCAGTAGGAAAGATGAATTACTTAATGAAGGATCTGGGAAAGCTGGGTAGCTATCTGAAAAGAATTTCTAGTAGGATAAAAGATTGACATGAAATCAAAGAAAACACAGGAAAGGAGGCCTTTGTGAGTATTCTATAATACCCAGAAACCATAGATGAAAACAGGTAATTTAAATTATTGCTTTACTCATTATATATAGTATTTACTACATGTGTTTTATCAGCAATAAAAAAGAAGGCTAGATTTTAAATTGTGACTATAAAAATTTTCTGTATAAAAAAGAACATTATAACTCCAAACAGTAAATAGGGAAAATACATATTGCCAACACAGGGCTAATTTTCTTATATTTTAAAGAAGGTCTATTAATCTATAGTAAGAAAAAAAAAGACCACCTGGCCAGTGTGGCTCAGTGGTTGAGAGTCGACCTAAGGGCCATATGCCAAGCTTGTGGGTTCTATCCCCAGTAGAGGGTATACAGGAGGCAGTTGATTGATGATTGTCTCTCATCATTGATGTTTCTCTCTCTCTCTCTCTCTCTCCCTTTCCCTTCTCTAAAATCAATAAAATTATATATTTTTAAAATAAAATTATATTTTAAAAAGAAAAGAAAAATAGACCAACAACCCAGCAGAAAAAAAAAAAATGAGCAAGTAGTTCCCAGAAAGAAATGCAGATGTTTCTAAAATATGTAAGCTGCTTAGTCTCACTGTGTCATGCCATCTTTCACGATAGAGATTGATAAGTTTTTAAAATAATATTCTATATTGGCGAGGGTGTGAGGAGAGAAAAGCACTTTCATATATTGTTGATAGATAAATTGGTACAACCACCATGGAGAACAAGTTGGGATCAATTACAATTTTTAATAATGATTCCAGCAGTTTTACTTCTTGGAATTTATCTGATGGGTATACTTCAACCTATGCAAAATTACGTCTATGTAATCTAAAACATTTCCATTATTTCTAAACTTTTGCTATTGTAAACAATTGCATTGTTTACAATAGCAAAAGTTTAGAAATAATGGAAATGTCCACCATTAGATTAGTTTAATAAATTTCAACCATCTCCAAAATATATCATCAGTGAAAAATGCAAAGGTGCAGAATTGTCCTTCCATTTTGGAAAAATAAAGAACACATACATATTTGTTAATATAGACTTAGGATACTTCTGAAATGATATACAAGAAACTGGTCAAGGTGGTTACATCCAGAGAGGAAAATGAGGGACTAGAGAACAGGGATGAGAGAGAGACTTCCTTTTTACTGTGTGCCTCTTTGTACCCTTGGATTTAGTATTGATGTACATTATTCTAAAAATGAAACAGTTTTTAAAAAGAGTATATCATTCTAAATGTCCAGTAATATGACAGTATTAGATATCCATTGATAAAAAAAATTATTATGCAGCTTTTAGAAAACATGATTTGGAAGGACAGAGATATTTATGATATGTAAAGTTAAGAAAGCATGATTTTAAATTGTATATAGAGTTTCCCAATTTTGTTTCTTATATACCTTAAAAAAAAAAAAGGACTAAAAGGAAAAGAGCCCTACCAGGTTGTTAATAATGTTCATCTTTAATTGAGGGGTTTTTATCCATTGTTTTTCTTTAAACTTCTCAGAAGTTGCAAGTTTTCTACATGAGAATGTTACCATTCTAAGGAAACATTATTTGAAATAGCTATTCTTATAATCTATGGGCACCATATGTCAGTCTAGCAAGATTTTTGCATTGTATTTATTCTCAGTACTGACTGAGGAAGACACAGATCATTATTCTTCAACTATGTTTAAAGGAAACAAGAAATTCATTGCACTAAAATGAGCTTTAAGGTGTTTAAAAAGGTATATTGGGGGGGGGGTGTATCTTTTATAGTTTTGAAAGCTCCTATCCTTCAATTCTCATTTCTCTACCTTTAAAAAACACACACACAAATAAATACCTTATCTACCCTGGGGGGAAGCCTAGCTTAAATATCCAAGTTCTAAATAAGATCTAAGGAAAAGGAGGAAAAGAATGACAATTCAAACATTTTTCTCCCTCTCCCCTCCCTCTCAAAACCTCATCTTGCAATTGAATTCTGAGTTAATTAATCATATAAGGATTAAGGTTGGAGTTTCATTCTGAGTTGGACAAAGTAGATCTGCTTTCTGTTTCTGCCTGAGGGGCTCTATCAGATCCTCTAGCCTTTTTCCTTCTTCCAGCCCTGAACTCTTATTTCTTTTAATTGTGCCTCCTCTCTCCTGCCTGACTTGTGTTTAGCACATAAAACAGTGCTACACAAGTAGGAACTCAGTAAGTGGTGGATGGAAGGAGCGAGGAAGAGGGGTGATAGATAAGTAGATGTATAGATAGCAATTAATAAATAAATAAACAAATAGAGTGTTCTATTTGTTTATTTATTTATTTGGTTCAAAATCATTAACTAGTGATTCTTAAAAAAGAGGATCGTTTTCCAAGGATGAAATTTGGATTTGAATGCTAGTAGTCATCTTTGCAGTTCTTCCAGCTAAGACACAGATGTCTAGTCTCATGTGGAACACACCATATAGTATCGGTATTTGTGTTCCGTTTATAAAATTTATATTTAGTTCAATCATAACAATGAAGGGAAAACAGATGCATACCTTGTGCAGACCTGAGTTTCTATAACTCTCATATAACTTTCACATGAAGTTCAGGAACCCTGATGAAATTCCAAAGTCTAACTGAGCCTCAGTTTCTTCATTTACAATGTGAGAGTAATCATTATATTTACGTCCATAGGTTGCTATGAGGATAGTTAATAAGTGCTCGGTAAGTATGTGTTGGCTCAGATCCTAAGTCTGAATTGGAATTTGAAGAAAACTCTTCTGCCCGGGTAGGAAGCACTTGAGGTAGGAGGTAACTATATAAGCTGTGAGTTGGAGGAAAAGATAAGAAATGTTATCGAGGGTCCAAAGTGACAGTTTAAAACACAGAGGAAGTGAACATGTAATGTAGGTCCTTTTTCCCCTCCCATTGTTGTTTTTCCAGGTGAGCTGGCACTGGAAGAACTTAACTGAGCTGGATCAGCTCTGGATGCTCAAATGTTTGCGGTTTAACTGGTACATCAATTTCTCTCCAACTCCCTTTGAGCAGGGTATATGGAAGAAGCACTACATTCAAATGGTGAAGGAGTTTCATGTTACCAGACCTAAGGTAAATTTGGGGTAAAAAAAAGCAACAAAGTTACAAACATCAGTTATTTAGGAAGTTTAGAACTAAGGCTACATGATCACTCTTGAACTTGGAAGAGGGACTTCAAAATTCTCTTCTGGGAACTTGACAGCCCGTGCCAAGATATCGGTGACCACTGAGAGCCCTCGTCTGACACTCCCAAGCCACCGTTCCACTCAGGAAGTTAGGACTGTGGACCTCCTCACTCTGTCCAGGTCTTGGATTTCCGTATCCCTGCCTTACTAACCCTCCCGGCCTCCCCCGACCCCACAACAGTTCTGACACTTGGATTCTGTGGGTAATGTGCAGTATTTGTTATATTTGGATCAGCAAATTCCACTTTATTAATTCATATATTCTATGATTCTTTGTGGTAAGCTGAAGTATATTTTTGTAACATTTATAAGGAAAAGCTTTCCAATAAATCCAGTAATTACAGGTCATGATGAGCATATTAAAGTTCTTTTTAAACTGGAAACTACCAGCGTAAAGCATTTACATATTCTAATATATAAAGAGCCAGGGTCTGTCACGACCTAAAAACATCCAGATGGATAACTGAACACCAGGCTAGGGTCCTGGCCAGTGCGACGGAAGTCAGTCCTGGGTCCCGGCAGCCCATGGAAGGAGTCAGTCCTGTGTCCCAAGGCACAGCGACAGGAGGGAGCTGTGGGAACAGAGCCATGCTGTGGTGGGACTGTACCCTACCCAAGGGTTCCAGATTGTGAGAGAGTGCAGGCTGGGCTGAGAGACCCCCCCGAGTGCACAAATTTTCATGCACCAGGACTCTAGTAATCATAAAAAGTAAATAAAAAATTTTTCTAGTGGCTTTCTATGCATTATAACCAATGTATGTATTAATTACATTGGTTATAATGCATAGAAAGTAGTCACTGTTAATAATAGGACATTTTTGAGAGCATTTTATTTATGGCATGGTCTGTATACATGTAGAGTTGTGCATAATTTTGTACAATGAATGTGTTCCTGAAAAATTGCGCATAAATTAAATTTTTAAATGATTTTTAAAACCACAGGGGTATCATATTCTATGAAAAAGCTGCAGTGAATCCTTTTAAAATTCAAGAATCCTTTTGAAATAGGAATAGCCAACTTCTAAATTGCTCATTTAGGTTAGTTTTATGAAAGTAATATACATTTACACTTAGTATAGCAATAAACTATACATAACTAATATTACCAGAATTGCAATAATAAAACTAGTAATTGGTGTGCTCCATGAGGATTTCTTTAAAAAACTTTTTTTTTAAACTGCAGTGATGTTAAAGTTATTTTCAAAATTACGATAGCTATGATATCTTTTCTCGTAGAGCTTTTCTCAACTCTCATTCTCATTTGTGGGCAGAGAATGCCCTTAATAGCTGAAGCTTGGGCGTTTGTGGGGCAGAAGGGAGATAAGTGACTAGCCAATTCGTAGAATGAAAGGAGGTTTTGAACAGTGTATATAAAACTAACTTCAATGCTTTTTCTGCAATAGCTCTTTCTACAGAATATTTCTGTACAACTATATTTAAAATAATGACTAGTTCTGATGCAAGAAAATGTCCACCTCTTTGCTTAGCATTAAATGTCTGTAGAGGGTACTTTGTTATATTAAACTTGAGTTTTTCTGTTAAAGAAATAAACCTAAGTTAGAAAGACAGAGGTTAATAAAGTCAACTAATAATTCTATTTCTTAGTCAGAAAGACTAAGTTTATAAAGCGTCTGACTAATGCTAATAAAGTCTTCTGACTATGGTTTTAAGGTCAACTGTCAGCACCACACTTACTCAATTTGTGTAACCCCCTCTGAGGCTGCTCCAGTGATGGTGCACACAGGCAGTCGCTAGAGTAGAGCATCACTTACCTTCCCTCAGTTGCCAGCACCATCTCCCTTCCCTCCAATACTTTGTCCATGGCATGAAAACATTTTAAAAACAGATGGTAGTGATTAAGAATGGTTTCCCCAACCTTAAAATGAGACAACTGGACTAGAATGATCTTTATAACTGTAAAGATACACTATCTGCACCAAGAAACATAATTTCAATAATATTTCATCTAGAAAAAGAAGAATAAGTTAAACCCAAAGTAGATAGAAAGAAGAAATAATAAAGAGCTGAGGTCAATGAAATTGACAGATAAACAATAGAGAAAAAAATCTATTTCTATCAATGAAATCTAAGCTGCTTGTTTGAAAACATAAATAATATTGCTAAATTTTGGCCAGCCTGCTAAGGGATAAAAAGAGAGAACACATAAATTACTAGTAGCAGGATGAAAGAGGGACACATCACTACAGGTCCTGAAAACATTAGAAGGACAATGAAAGAATATTATGAACAATTCCATGTCCTTAAATTCAACAACCTAGATGAAATAGACAATCCTTAAAAACCACAAATTGCCAAAACAGTCTCAATAAGAAATAGAAAACATGAACAAATCTTTATCAATTTAAAAATTGAATTCTTTTAAAATTTCCCCCAAAACTTCAGACCCAAATAGCTTTATTGGTGAATTCTATCACACATTTAAGGAAGAGATACCAATTCTACATGGACGCTTTCAGAAAATATAGGAAGAGGGAAGGAACACTTCTGAACTCATCACCTTTATACCAAAACCAGATAAAGATTTTACAAGGAAACAAAACAAGACCACAGACCAATATCCCTTATGAACACAGATATAAAACTCCTTTAAAAATATCAGCAAATTAGCCGAAATCGGTTTGGCTCAGTGGTAGAGCGTCGGTCTGCGGACTGAAAGGTCCCAGGTTTGATTCTGGTCAAGGGCATGTACATTGGTTGCAGGCACATACCCAGTGGGGAGTGTGCAAGAGGCAGCTGGTCGATGTTTCTCTCTCATTGATGCTTCTAGCTCTCTATCCCTCTCCCTTCCTCTCTGTAAAAAATCAATAAAATATATTTAAAAAAAATATATATATATGCAAATTTAATCCAGAAATTTATAATACATGATAACCAAATGGGATATACCCAAGGAGAATAAGGTTGGCATACTATTAAAAAAAATCAGTCATGCTCATTTTGGCAGCACATATATTGGAATGATACAGAGAAGACTACTATGGCCCCTGTGTAAGGATGGCATGCAAATTTATAAAGCATTAAAAAAATCAAACAATGTAATTTACAGAATAAAAAAGATTTGTGATCATTTCAGTATAGGCAAAAGTATTTAACAATAAAATCAGCATACACTCCGTAAAAAATTTCTCAAAAAGATTAGGTGAACAAAAATTTTGTTTACTTAATACAGAAGTGTCATCACAGTTTTCATTATTACCTCTTATGTTAAAGTGTCAAGCATTTTATATTTTCCAGAGTTAATGTGCTTATTTATATGTGATTACTATCATTTATGCCTGATGTTTTCCCTCTGAGACTGATTTTTATTGTCACATATTATTTATTCCCAGGACTATTAAATTAGACCTCCTCCAGCAAAAGCATCAGAGAAATGAAACGAATGCCCATTCAAAATGAGACCTGCACAAACTATTGAGTAATAAACCAATAATGAGCTCTCAGAGTTATAAATATAAAACATTTTCTTAATCTAACAGATTATAATTATTCACTAAATGAATATACATATATATATATATATATATTTTTTTTTTTTTTTTAACTATTATGTGTTGGGTACTTGAATGCAATAATCCCAACCATGCTTTCAAGGAGCCTAGTCTAGTGGCTTTGGACACAGACAAATTAATGAGTACTAAGTGCTCTCCTGTAATGGAAATATATACAAAGAGCAGTTGAAACAAGGATAAGAAACTAACTGACTCTGCTAGGAGGCACTGGGGAATTTCTTAATTTTCACAAGCAATTCAAACAAACCAATTCACCAAGCAAAGCTCCCCTAATCTCTTAAAGAACAGAAATTAAGCCTTTAATGGCTTCTCAACATACCAATACCATTTCCCTTAGGCTACAACCACATGAAAACCTTAGGAATTTCACACACACAGAAATAGACTTTCTATTTAGGAAATTAAAGCAAAAGTGTTTGGGGGAGCAGATGAGGTTTTGATAATTGATAAAAATCAATAGACTACCCCTATATAACTTGAAATTGTCTGTATGGGTTATAGGTAATTAGGACTGGAGTACTTTTTTGAAAGTATACGTTTTCATGGGTAAATTAATTGCAGTTGTGGAAACCCTATACAATGCGGTAAAAGAGGTGGCAGTACCAGGTAGAGAGGTTCATTGTATGGTCTTGAAGCAAGACAGTCCTGGATTCAAATTCTGATCCTGTCTCTTAAAACTTCGGTAGTAGCAGGCCAATTAATTGGTTTATCCTATCTTCAGTTTCCTGTTCTTTAAAATGGGAGTAGTAATGTTTACCTTTTAGAGTTATTGTGAAGGTTAAATAAAATAATGTATGAAAACTTCCCAAGACAGTGCCTGCCTGGCACACAGCAAGTACTCCTGGGTTGACGGCTGCTGTAATCATTGTCACCACCATCGTGGCGATGATGATGATGATGATGATATTCTTTGTTTTATTGTTATAATTACAGTGTGTTAAAAATAGAAATAGTCCTTAATTGTCTTTTTCTAGACATCTCCAAAAGATGGGTTTGTGGTTGCTGATGTTCAACCAGTGACAGGCAGTCCTCCAGAGGAAAAGCGGTCTCCGTCATCGGCTTTCCGATCTTCTTCCTCTTTAAGAAAGAAGTACCACTCAGGGGAAAAGGAACTCCCACCCTGGCGATCCTCTGACAGGCATCCAACTGACATCATTCGCTTCAATTACCTGGACAATTGTGAGCCCTTCGAGCAGATCTGGCAAGGGTGAGAAGTTCCATGTCCCTCTTTCCTTGTTTGCTTTTAGAAACAATTGGCTGACACTTCCATGTGAAAAGATGAAAATAGAACTTAGGTGAATATACAAGCGCTTTTCCATACTTAGAAGTAAAAAATAATAGAAAAGTAATCAAACTGTTTTATGGTAAAATTTCCCTGTTCATTAGGATTTGTTTGTGTTTTATAGCTGTAACTAAATGCCCAGTGCATGAAATTCGTGCATGGGGGGGAGAGGGTGTCCCTCAGCCCAGCCTGTACCCTCTCCAATCTGAGACCCTTCAGGGGATGTCCAATTGTTCGCCTGCCTGCCTGCCTGATTGCCCCTAACCACTTCTGCCTGCCAGCCTGATCACCCCCTAACGACTCACCTGCCAGCCTGATCGATGCCTAACTGTTCCCCTGCCAATCCGATTACCCACAACTGCCCTCCCCTACAGGCTGGTCCCCCCAACTGCCCTCCCCTGCTGGCCATCTTGTGACCACATGATGGTGGCCATCTTGTGTGATGGCACGATGGTCAATTTGCATATTACCTCTTTATTATATGGGATGATTTAACATTACAATTTCTTTTACTTCTGTTTTAATCTAGCACCATAGGATTCATCTTGGTAGTTTTCTTTTTTCCATATTTACACCTCCCTTCTCTGTCAGTACGAAACCTGGCTCTCATATTTATTTATTGTTCATTATATATGTTTACATGTCACAAATATTATACATTGTACAGTTCACCCTTGAACAATGTCAGTTTTAGGGGTACTGACCCCCATGCGGTTCAAATCCACATATAAATTTTGATTCGCCAAAAACTTAACTAGAGTTGGCCCTTTGCATTCATAGATTCAACCCACCGTGATTGAAACCAATGTTTTCCATCTGTTGTTGGGAATGCAAAATAGTGTTTTCAATATGCAGTTAGTTGACTCTTCTCTCTGACAATCAATAGAAAAAATATCCTTCAGTGAGGATTAACAAAAATCAAAAAAACACACCACAGACTTACAAACTGGAATTAAATATTTTCTTATGGTTCTCTTTGCCTTTAGTCTGAGCTTCTATATATATAAAGCTCTCACTGGCACCAGAGCTTTGTATATATAGTTAATATATAAATAAAGCTCTTGCTGGCATGTGTGCTTCCATCTGTCATTGTCGATCGTGAATTTGGTTGACACTTCTATAATAGAGAAAGGACAAATAGTGATACTAAAATATTTCTTCTAATTAATTTCCTTTCAATGTGCACGAATTCGTACACCAGGCCTCTAGTATAGTCATAATACTGTGTTCAAAAGTTATGTGGATATGTTAATACCTCCTTCTCTGTGGGTAGGTCACATGGTTCTAAAGTTAAAACTATATAGAAGTATAAAAAAAGTATTTAAAAGTATTCAAGTGTATACAAGGTATACGGTACTCAGAGAATTGCCACCCCCATCTCTTCCACTCTGCTCCCACCCTGTTATCTTTTCTACCCCATTCCCACTAACAAAGCTCATTAGTTTCTAGTTTATCCTTCCAGGGTCATTTTTTTATGCAGAGTTATAAAATACATCATTTTTCAACTATCTGGCAAACTTTAAAGTTTGGTAATATGTTCTGATGGTGAGGCTGTGAGCAAACGCTGGTAGAATTTATTCATAGCTGGTGGAAATATAAATTGGTACAGACTCTATGGAAGAAAACTTGACAATATCCAGCAAGAATACATAAATATTTACACTTTGACGCAGCAATTCTACTTCTAGGAATCAATGTTGAAAATACTAAAAATGCATCTGCACAAGGATATTTATTGCAACATTGTAATATTAAAATATTGGAAATAACTTAAATGGCTATACATAGGAGAGTATTTGTTGAATAAATCATGTATGGTCTATTCACACAATGGAGCATGAGGCAACTGTAAAATGAATAGGGAAGATTTCTATTTATTTTGGCAATTCTCTGATTATACATTGCATACACTTCTTGTATATTTTTAAAATACCTCTTTTATACTCTTATATAGTTTTTACTTTAGAACCATGTGATGTACCCACAGAGAAGGAGGTATTAACATACCCACATAACTTTTGAACATAGTATACTCAAATTGCAAGGAGTATTTATAATATTCCACCCCTATATAGAAAGGAAAAAAAGTAAGAAAACATAGATCTGTATCTACGTTTACATATATATCTGTTCATTTGTTAACACACACATACAAAAGATAAACAAAAATTAAGAAAACAAATTTTGAAATATTTGAATGTTTTAATACATCTGCTATATTTTTAGAATATATTTCAACAGATTAACACCAAGGCAGCATAGGATAGTGGTGATATACAGGCTCTAGAACCATACTGCAAATCCAAGCTCCCATACTTCTTTTTAAAAATATATAAATATTTTATTGATTTTTTTTTTTTACAGAGTGGAAGGAAGAGGGATAGAGAGTTAGAAACATCAATGAGAGAGATACATCAATCAGCTGCCTCCTGCACGCCCCCTACTGGGGATGTGCCCACAACCAATGTACATGCCCTTGACCGGAATCGAACCTGGGACCTTTCAGTCTTTCAGTCTGCAGGCTGACACTCTATCCATTCAGGCTCCCATACTTCTAACTGTGTGACTGGGGGACTCCCTTAACCTCTCTGTGCCTCTGTTCCCACATTTGTAAAATGGCAATAACGTTGTCACCTAAGTTATAGGATCTATTCATCAACATAGACCAGGTGCTCAGACTCTTCAAAGAGTCAGTGTCATGGGTGGGGAGGGGGAGAGCGAGGAGAAAGAGGTGGGAAGAATATTCTATAACATAAGAGACATAACAACCAAATTCATTTTGAATCTTGATGGAATTCTGGTTAAAAAAATAAGGACTTTAATAGGCATTCTTGGGGCAATTTAATATAGACTGGGTATTAAATGATTTTAAGGAATTACTATTCATTTTCTGAGGTATGTTGACAACTAGTGTGGTTAGGTAGGCAAATATCTTTATCTTAGGAGATGAGTGTTGAAGTATTTAGGGGGAAGTGTATGCAATTTACTTTCTTACACTGTGACAAATATGTACGTATGTATAGATGGTATGTGTATGTGTGTTCATATATGTATCTATACAAAGGAATAAGCAAAATATTATCAATTGTTGAATTTAGTTGAAGAATATATGGATAATCACCATACTATTCTTTCAACTACTCTTTTTTTTAAATATATTTTATTGATTTTGTACAGAGAGGAAGGGAGAGAGATAGAGAGCTAGAAACATCGATGAGAGAGAGTCATCGAACAGCTGCCTCTTGCATTTGGATATGCCTGCAACCAAGGTATATGCCCTTGACCGGAATCGAACCCGGGTCCCTTTAGTCCCCAAGCCGACGCTCTATCCATTGAGCCAAACCGGTCTCGGCTCAACTATTCTTTATGTTTGAAATTTCTTAATTAAAAGCTGGGGGAAGTTTTTAAAAAATATATTTTTATTGATTTCAGAGAGGAAGGGACAAGGAAAGAGAGATAGAAACATTAATGATGACAGAGAATCATTGATCAGCTGCCTCCTGCACCCCCTTCCCCCACTGAGGATCCAGCCCTCAACCAGGCATGTGTCCTTGACTGGAATTGGACCCTTCAGTCCACAGGCCAATGGAAAGCTGGGGGAAATTTTTGAACATTAAGCAGCAAGAAATATTCAGCAAAACTGATTTTTTAAAATAAAATTTTATAATGGAAGTTCAAGTATGTACAAAAGTAGAGAGACCAGAACCCCTTGTAACCATCTCCCAGCAGTACAGGTTTCAACTCCTGACCAATTTCATTTCATTTATTCCTCACCACTCTGCCCTTCCCTCAGGTTATTTTTGAGACAAATCCAAAAGTCATACATTTTCATTCATACATGTTTTGTCCTTAGGATATATTCTATTAAGAATATTCAAACAGCCTAGCTAGCATGGCTCAGTGGTTGAACATAGACCCATCCACCAAGAGGTCATGGGTTTGATTCCAGCCAGGGCACTTAGGTTGCGGGCTTGATTCCCAGTGTAGGGCATGCAGGAGGCAGCTGATCAATGATTCTCTCTCATCATTGATATTTCTATCTCTCTCTCCCTCTCCCCGCCTCTCTCTGAAATCAATAAAAATGTAATATTATTTAAAAAAGAATATTCAGACAAATTACTGAATTTAAATTAAAGTCCCATAAAGAAATTATGTGTGTGCTAATGCCCCAACTCAACAGACAAGATCATTTGTATTATTTTGTTTTTTATTTTAGGGATTTTCCTCCTTCGTTTTTATTTTAATTTTTTAAGAAAAATTGAGCTGAAACCGGTTTGGCTCAGTGGATAGAGCGTCGGCCTGCAGACTGAAAGTTCCCAGGTTTGATTCTGGTCAAGGGCATGTACCTTGGTTGTGGGCACATCCCCAGTAGGGGGTGTGCAAGAGGCAGCTGATCGATGATTCTCTCTCATCGATGTTTCTAACTTCCTATCCCTCTCTCTTCCTCTCTGTCAAAAATCAATAAAATATATTTTTTTTAAAAATTGAGATGGTTCCAAAGTAAAAGACAAAACAAAGCCAAGTATATGCGGAGAAGTCTAGCTTCTGCTCATCCCCTTCCATACTGTTCCTCATGCCTGATTGGGTCACATGGGAATCCTTATGGGTAACCATTTTTCAAAATGCTATGCTGTAGTCCTTCCATTTGAGAAAACAAATAAATACACACATGCACACACACACACACACACTTTAAAAAAAATAAATAATAGCATACAATATGTACCACTTCACCCACTTTTCCTTTTCTCATGTGACACTGTATCCTGGAGATCACTCCACAGTTGTATCAGAAATATTCTGCCTTCCTTTTTACAGCTTATAACACTTCATTGTGTGGGTGTAGAGTTTATTTAACCAGCTCTCTATTGATGGACATTTGGCTTGCTTCCAGTAGAATGAAGATAATCTTTTAAGTCCTAGTAACAACAAAGTCAAATGGCCAAAGTTTTAAAATGAGTATTTGTCATTTCTCTAATGCCCTCCAACTTATAGAAGAAAGAAAAGACATGAAACGACCCCAGATTCCAGCCGACAGTCACATGATAAGAAAAATAAACTGCGGGACAGATCTAAGCTAAGAAAAGCACAGTCGCTGGTGAGTATTGCTTTCAAAAGATTCCCCACCAAAGTCATAGCCAGTTTAGCTCAGTGGAAAGAGCATCAGCCCACGGCCTGATGAGTCCCAGGTTCGTTTTCAGCCAACGGCATGTACCTTGGTTGTAGGTTTCCTGGCCCTGGTCTCAGTATGTGCAGGAGGCAACCAATTGATGTGTCTCTCACCTTGATGTTTCACTCTCTCTAAAAAAAAATCAATGAAAAAATATCCTCAGAGAGGATTAACAAAACAAACAAACAAAAATTCCCCACCATAATGTTAATGAAAAGTGCTTGGGCCTCTAATACTGTTTGTGAAACTGAATTTGTTTTTTATTTAAATTAGAATCAAGCGGTGGTTTAAATCCTGATTTCTGGAAGGGACTGACCAACTGTGTAACCTTGAAGATGCCCTTCACTTAATCTTTCTGGGCCTTGTTTTCCCCTCTGTTTAAAACAAAACAAAAAGACTAGATGAACTGATGTGTATGAATCTGCTTTGAGAACTATAAATATAAAGGGAACATCCTTATCATTTCGGTTTTCCTTCTGCTATGAGTCCTTTGGTAGGGGTGCTATAGAAATTTCTCTACAGAAATCACTGCTCTATAGAGTGAAGGTTCCACTGACCTAAGAAAAAGGTACACTTTCCTGCTACCAGTGGAGGATGATCACAAGGGTGCATTACAAGTAACTGCAGAAAAAGTGAATTCAGAACTTTTCTCTCCCTAATGAAAAAAATAGCTACTTGGTGACCTAATAAAGTCAGTAATTGTGTCCAGGGAACATTATCATTTCATAGCAGAGTTTTCCAAACTGGTTCTATAGCCCCAATGGATCCCTTTGAGCACACGAGTCTTTGGTGCGAGGTAGAAGGGAATAAGGGGGGAATCAAAAGTTCACATTATTAGTAAAGATTTAGAAGAAGAAAAAAAAAGCAGCTGAGGATACACACTGAAGGCAAATGAATATAAAATGAATGTCAATTGGGAGGAGAAAAAGTAGGTACTCGTGAGTAAATCACTTTGATAGCTCTGTTTTAAAGCCCTATTACTTTCCGTTTAAATTTATTTTCAAGTGTTATTATATTCAAAAGAGAGAGAGAGAGATGAGCTTTTTCAAATAGGGGTATTTGTATTCTGAGGGACCAGTTTTGGTGGGCTGGATGAGGCTTATCACAGGCAGATGTGCAAATGCCCAAGGGAATGGGGATGCTTAAAGCAGAGCAGTAAAATTGTCAGTGAAAACCATTAATCGAGAGAAATAACTTTATGAGGCTTATCACACAGACCATTCAGACATGCTCCTGTCTGGTTTCCTAGCCTCTCCTAAGCCAGGAGGACAAGAGCGATCTGGGGGAGATGAGGGAATTGAAGGACGATAAAAATTGATGGTGATGTATGCTTACAAATGATCAGCACAAACATTTCTCTGGCTTAAGAAGGAACAGAACAACAAAAACCAAAGACTAAACAGAAGCCTTCTCCACGGGCTTTTGACATTAATCTCTGTCACATACTAGCAGGGCTTGCTTAAGTTGAAATATTTGTTATAAATGAAAAACTTTAAAAGTTGCACTGCTAATTAAAGCCCCAAAGGGAAATCAGGACAGATTAAACAACGATAAAGAACAATTATGCTATGAATAAATAAAGTTCGTGACTGTATTGATCTACTTGTATTGTTTATGTAACTATACTAATTACAATCACTATTTATGCTTAGTAGTTTTGCTGAGGAGCACGGGCATAATCCAACCTTCCAAAAGTATGTGGAGATCTTGGTCTGGGTGCCGATGCCCATGATAACTGGCTGTGAATGTGGCCAAGGCCCCCCTCTCCTTGAGGTAGCAGTTTGCCCTCACTGTAGGCAACCTCTGCCGAAACCAGTTTGGCTCAGTGGGTAGAGTGTCAGCCTGCGGACTGCAAGGCCCCAGGTTCAATTCCAGTCAAGGACATGTACTACGTTAGTTGCGGGCGCATCCCCAGTAAGGGGTGTTCAGGAGGTAGCTGATTGATGTTTCTTTTTCATCAATGTTTCTGACTCTCTCCTTTCCTCTCTGTAAAAAATCAATAAAATATATATTTTTAAAAAGAAATAAGCAGCCTCCTAAGTGAGGTTGCAAGATGCTTGAGAAAATGAAGAGACTCAGGTGTGGGGCTGAGAGAGGAGGAAGTGGGTATCGAGGAAACTCAAGGAGGGAACCCAGGGAGAGTCGGGAGTAACTAAACTCTGACCCCTGCAGCTGTAGAGGTTGGTTTACTCAGCCGAGGTGGGATTGCGATGGAAAACAATTACATATTCACTTGTTAGAAAGTCCTTGTGTTATGTAGACAGGTTTATTTTCTAGGGAGATTTCAGGAGAAACGAGAGAAACTAGGGAAGCAGGTAGAACTTAGGGGAATACATTACAAAGGCAAGGACGAGAAGGACAGATCCCCTAAGTCTGCCCCTGAGGTTGCTGAGATCTGAACACATGAATATTCCTTGCCTGTCCCTCCATGCCCCACCCTCCCCAAGCCCCCATGAATAGAAAAGGGGCAAAGGTTCCTTGGAGAAGTTAAAGCTTTGTGAATGAAAGGGTTGGAAGGGGGAAAAGCACAGGAGTGTAGAAATATACCAAGAATATTCCTTAGGCCATCTTTCCAGGGCTGTGGCTTTGATGCCACTAGGGCCATCCTCACTTTACCCTCTCAGGACTTAGAGCCTCCAAATATGAGAGTTCTCTCTAAAAAGAGAAGCAGTCTTAGGGAAACAGTCTCAAGTCTACATGCATTGAGCTGAGCTTACCATAGTGTCTATTGTTTCATAGATTTGAGTTTTCAGAGACCACCCCTAAAAGGGCACTGGTTTCCTCTCAAGCTTTCAGCACTCATGCTGCCTCGTTGCAACCGCTCCATTTAACCACCTTTGGGTGTGAATCGTTGATGGGAGATGGAAACAAAGCCTAGACCTTCTCACTAACACTTTAGAATTTTTTTTTAATTAAAATATATTTTATTGTTTTTTTAACAGAGAAGAAGAGAGAGGGATAGAGAGTTAGAAACATTGATGAGAGAATCATTGATCAGCTGCCTCTTGCACACCCCCTGCTGGGGATGTGCCCGCACCCAAGGTACATGCCCTTGACCGGAATCGAACCCGGGACCTTTCAGTCCGAAGGCCGATGCTCTATCCACTGAGCCAAACCGGTTTTGGCGCTTTAGAATTTTGAACATTGTTTCTTAAAATTCCCTACACATCGTCGGGCCAGTGTGCTCAGTGGTTGAGCATCAACCTATGAACCAGAAGGTCACAGTTCCATTCCTGGACAGGGTACATGTCCGAGTTGGGGCTCCACCCACTAGTAAGGGATGTGCAAGAGGCAGCCAATCAGTGATTCTCTGTCATCATTGATGTGTCTACCTCTCCCTCTCCCTCTCCCTTCCTCTCTCTGAAATAAATAACATGTTTTTAGAAAATTCTACACATATCAAGAAGTGCCCAAATATTAGCTATTATAAAATTCCATACAGAACAACTTAAAAATATAAACACCACAGAAGAGCCAGGTACCATTTTAATTAACCTCCAGAAATTTCCCCATCTCATGTAAAGGTGTGAAAAAAAATCATTATTTTTTTTTAATCCTAAGAGCTGGCCCCACAGTTCCTCTTGGGAAGGGTGAGGAGGAAGCTATCTCTGGGGGAGAGCTGTTGATGAGCTTGCCGAGGGAGATGACACCTCAAGGGCTTGAATGTATGGGGCACCCGCTTCAGAGGAGAGAAAACCTGCTCTGCTGGAGATTCGGGAAGTTTGTGGTTTCTGCTCCTTTGAGGGCAGGGGAGGGGAAGCAGAGGGACAGGGGAGGAGAGAGGAGAGAAAAGCCCACTTGGGTCCAGAAGCTGAGATGAGGTCAGGGAGAGACACCTGGAAGGTGTTAGACAGTGATACCACCCATCTGATCAAATGTATTTGCTATTGCTGCCAAGTAAACCCTGCTTTCCATCTCTATAGTAAATTCTACTCAATTTGCACATGGAAGCAAGATCTCAGAAGTCTAGGAGGCCAAGAAAACAAAGGTCCTTTGGGGACAATTCACAAAAACTTGGGGGTGGGGGTGGGTTTTGGACTTCCCAGGCCCCCAGCTGACATCTTGGTTCCCGTTCTTTTTGTCTTCTTCCTACCAAATTAAATATAAAAACAAATACCTTTTGTCTCTCACTGGACTTCTGCTTGGAGGTTAGACATCTTCACTTCTGGTTCTGATTTGGGCACGGATTTCAAAAAGCTTGCCGTTTCAGAGCATTCATTGTAATACAAGTACCCAAAGCCGGGCATTACCTGCTTACTCTAATTGCCTTAGATAAGACCTTATCTCTTCCTGTGCTCTGCCAAGCCCAGCCGCTGCAGTTCCCTCCTTCACCTCTTTCCAGGATCACTTGATTCTGATGATTTAAAATGCTTCTTGCCCAGCCGACGTGGCTGAGTGTTGACCTATGAACCAGGAGGTCATGGCTCAATCCCTAGTCAGGACACACAACCGGGTTGCAGGCTTGATCTCCCATTGGGGGCGTGCAGAAGGCAACTGATTAATGATTCTCTCTCATCATTGATCTCTCTCTCTCCCTCCCTTTCTCTCTTTCTCTCCCTCACTCTCCTTTCCTCTCTGAAATCAATAAAAATATATTTTAAAAATAAAATAAAATGTTTCTTTAAGCTTTCTCACTCTCCCCAGCCTCTCCTCCTCCCCCAAGCTCAAAAGAGGAGGGAGAAGAATTCTACTCCAAAGTGATTCCTGGTTCCTGTCATGGAATGCATGATGGTTGATGAGTCAGAAAACCCAGGTTTCTAGCTCCAGCACAACGTTTAACTCAGCAGTCACTCAGCCTCTCTGAGTTTTCCTTTCTCCGTGTATAAAATGGAAGTTGGATTCCAACACCTCACAGGTCCGTTCCAGGCTAACGTCTGATCTATGGGCCCCCCTAGCTTTCTTCCACATTCCCTCCCCTCTCTCCTGAG